ACAAGTGCCTTACTAGTAGTAACAAGAAGCTATTAGTAACAATTTAATTCTATTTTAATTCTAATAGCTTTTTGTTACTGCTAGTAGGGCACTTGTTACTAGTAGCGATGCACTTGCTACTAGTAGTAACAAGCATGTGTTCATTTGGGTTCGTGGGTGCCATCTTGTTCTTTTAAGGTCCGACAGAAATCTTTTTCAAACCTCGTCCCCGAGTGAAGGCCTGTGACCGCTGCCTTGCTTGGTCACTTGGCGCCGTGACGACCATCGAGGTGTTTGTAAAGTCAACAAAGGACTCCAAGACCTGCGACAAACTACGGAGTTATCTGAGTGGTAACTGCTCAAACCAAACTTTCCCATGGATTCCCTGCTCGATTCCCTTCATCAACTCCAACACCGACATGCTTAGTGCCAAACCCAAGTGTTGCCGACACGCTCCGCAGGGGTCATGGCAGCGTTGGTGACGAAAAGTGCAACAGAAGTGAAGCCAGCGGCTAACTCTCCGTCCCTTGGCAAACGAGCAAACCGCACACTAACAGACACACACACACATCATACTAGTACATGTAAACATGATCATACAGTAATACATGCACTGTGTAAACATGCGGAAGTTGTGTACCCATTTTTCACCTGAGCTCATAAGCCAAAGGCCAAAAATCCTGAGAATGAGTTGAGAGCAAATACTCAGGCTTAAATCGTGAATGAAAACTGGACAACCATAATTGACAAAGTCATGTCACCCAGAAACCGGCCGACTTATGTGTCCAACACTTTTGTCTAGTCTAGTCATACCTTCTGGATCTCTGCAAGGTCAGTTGAAACGTAACGCGTGTGCAAGAGTTCTTGCGGCTTCAAGATCCCTTTCGACCTGTGACTGCAAGATTTCTTGGACCTCTCCAAGCACACTTTTGCTCACATGACCGTCTCCAAAAGGACTGTCTCCTCTTCTCTGTGGGCTCGAGGTTTCTTTCCATCTCATATCTCCCTCGATCCAAGTCCAAATTTCACGCCGTGCTTCCCAAATCTGAAACTTGAAGTCGCCTTGCCATTCGCGGAACATCACCCAAAGTGCGCTCAAAATGCTCGAGGTACTCTCTGTGAAACGTAAAACTTCAATCTTGCTCTCTGCATCTCATCTCTCTGAGCTCCCTGAAGCTCTTCGAAAGTGACTCCTCGAGGCTTGGAGTTTAACTTCGAATCCGCCAATTCGTCCTGATTTCCAAATTCTCCATCAGCACCCTGTTTACATGCCATGATACAACATGTTTACACGTGTCTTGGTCAATGCCGCAATTCTGGCCAATGCCCAGTGTGCGCACATGTGAACACTCGATCAAAACGGTCCTTTACATTCCTTTACCCATTGGAGGACACAGTGTTCAAGAAGGAGAAATGAGAGGATATGAGAGGCATCAGAATGAAATAGGATGAAGTAGGAACATGTTGAATTTTTGACGATTTCTGCAGCCCAGAGCACCGGGCCAAGAGCACCGCCACGCGGCCATCACCTTCACAGCGCTCAAAGACGCGGTTTGGAGTCACGGCTAAGCAGCTCGCTGCGAAGTCAAAGCCCAACGGAGCTCCTGACGGGATGAGGAGCAAAGCCTCCAACCTACTTGCAATGGCCTCCAACCTAAGAGCGGTGGATGGCCACTAACCTACTTGCAATGGCTTCCAACCTGGAGCAAAAATGAGCAAACAGGAAGGCCCAGGCCGCCCAGGCCCAAGTCGGAAGGCGGTAACGGTTCAACTGCTCGAAAGATTTGGTGAACGAAGACAAATTGCACATCAGCTCTATCAGAATCAGCTCAAGCACTAGCATGCATCGCTACTAGGAACAAGAAGCTACTAGGGGATCCTGGCCTTACTAGGAGCAAGGACGCTACTAGGAAAGCAAAATAAGAAGCTGTTGAGAATCTGCCAAGCTGCTGATGCGTACGTGAACAGTTCCACCTTGTAGCAGCGAAGCCAAAGACGCCTGCAGCACGGGCCATGACAAAAGCAAGAGTGTGACTTTCAGGAGTTGGACAGAATCGATTGAACAGCTCATCGGTTAAAATCATAAATCCTAATGAAAATGACTCTGCTCCAAGTCATTTCGTACTGTTCCGGTTCTATTCGTCACCCTGGCCTTGGGGTGGATTGCCAATGTCACCGTGACCGACAGCTGCGGTGCCACGCCGTTGGCCTGCGGAGTGAGTGAGGTACTGCCGAAGGAGGCCTTCAGCACGAAGCCTCAGCGAATCGACGCAAAATGAACCAACAGCGTATTTCGGTCTGAAGCTTTGACCAAATTGGACTTTAAGTAGTTGCGGGCCCCTGAAAAAGTCTTGGTGAATGATGTGAATGCTGAGTCGGCACCTGTGACATCCTGCAATGACACCTTCTTAAGGACCATTTCACAAATCATCTTGCTCTTCATGCCTGGAAAAAGGTCGTCGTTGCTTGCAGTGACCTCCTGCCGGGCGAGATAGCGAACAGGTTCAAGCGCACGAAATGCACACGACACGACAAACGAAGCCGAAGCAAGTCGACAGAAGTCTCACTGCGTTTCGATGAAGTGACTCTCCTCGCATGGCCGATCTCGGCAAGTACGCAGCAGCCAAGAGCTCTGATGCGTCTCGTCCCACAGCGCCAAATCCTCTGGTGCTGCGGGTGTCCGCAGCCTGCAAGTGGAAACCAGAAATGCTAGCTCGGCCTCAGCGGCCTACTAGTACTATCAGGTTGGAGGCCATCGCATCAGTGCAAGAAAACCAATTTCCATCATTTTCATCTCTGTTGAGAGGCAAAGGTCCAGCAAGCTCGGGAAGTTTGCTCCAGCCTCACAGAGAACCTTACAATCTGACCTTGGTGCCCAGTTTGAACTTTGAAATTGTCTGGGTTGATGAGAGCTCCAATGCATTCCAGTACGTAAATAACTACTGAATTACAATCTGAACGAACAGGGGCCTGTGGTTGAACTTCTGTCAAGGCACCCGCAACCAAAGGTGTCAGCATCTGGACTGCCAAACTCGGCCGTGATGAGAAGGGCACGTTGGGGTCAGGTGAGGCGTCGTCCAGAAAGACTTGTCCCGAAATCAGAGGGAAGCCTCCAAAGCAGGATGCACCACGCACACTTGAATGTTGCTTAAGATTATGCAAATGACACTTTACATCTTTGCGACGATCATCAATCATCCTGATGATTGCTATTTACACCCAAATGTTGCTACAAAAACACACAAGGTGCGTGGGATTTAGAGGGCGACGATGGGAGACGTTTTCAAAAGGATGTAGGGAACTGCTTGGCAAATTATCATTGCAACTGTATTACAAGTGCGACGACCACACTAGTGAAACAAACTGGCCGAGTGAAACTTGAAGAATCTCAGGCGTGCATTTACTGTAGTCACACTGTAGTCGATTTAGTACAGCGTTTCATGATGCTATTATGACTGTTCACGACGCATGACGCTTCCTTGCCTTCGCCAGGGCTGAAGCTGCGTTCCAAGAAGCGAAAACCCTGTGGAGCACGCAGCTCTAAGATTTGCCCTGCTGAGACACCATGGAGCAGCGAAAAGGCCACAAAGAACTCCGTATTGGCAATATCCTACGGGAATTCCGTGTTCCCGGATGTTCCCAGGTGCTACCTAGACTCGCTGGTAGACTTTACTAGGCCTTACTAGGCCTCAGGTGGCTTTTAACTGACAAAACAGTGTAGTCTGCGCATATTGTTCGCCAAGGAGCAAAGAAAGGATCTGTGAGATCTGTCTGTTCCAGCATGTTAAGACGAATCAAAGTCACCTGAAACCATGTTAAGACGGGATCCCGTCCCATGCCATGTTTGGCCTTCTCTCCGTCTCTTCCTTCTCTTCACTCTACGCTTCGACAAGCTACCGGGCCCAGAAGATTCACCGAACGATCCCGAACGTTCTCGTCAAGGACTCCATTGATGAAGACCTTTGGCAGGTTTAAAGTGTTGCCCCCGCTTCAATAAAGCAACTCGAAAAGAACAAACACCAAACCAAAACACAAAGATGGCAACGCGCCCCCACACAGCCGTGTGTTTTGGACACGTTTTGTCAAAAACAACATATGTTTTGTCAGTTTTGGAAAAGCTCAGCAGCGTTATTTCCCGTTTTACGAGAAGAAACCGTTTAGAAACCATTTAAACATCCATTTCCAACATCCAATTTTTTTTCATTCTTTATAAAGAGGCAGCACCGGCCACAGTACGCTTGCGAACCCAGTGTCCTTCTCGTGTCCTTCTAATCTGGCCGCGCTGACGAATTCTGTGTCCTCCTGTCATCCTGCCCTGTGTCCTGTCCGGGTGCCCTCCTGTCCTCTGCCCGTGTCCTTCTCTTGTCCTCCTTGTCCTGGTGCTGAGCCCTGCCTTGTCTTGCCCCCCTTCTGTGTTTTTGGCGTCTAGCCGCGCTCGGTGTCCGGGTGTTGTTCTCCAGTTGTCCTGTTGTGGCCTTCTGTCCTTTGGCCGTGCTCACGAACCCCTCTGTCCTCGTGTTCCCGAAACAGTTTACTCACAGAAGCTGCATTCTGCCCGATGAGAGGGATCTAAGTGCAACTTCGGTAAAACATGGAAGGAACGATAATTGAATGTGAGGGGAGAGCCAGAAAGCATTCACGGAGTTCAACAAACTCTTTGCGTTCTTGCTCCTAGTAGTAAGGCCAGGAACCCCTAGTAGCGTCCTTGCTCCTAGTAGCGATGCCCTTTGCTCCTAGTCGCTTCTTGTTACTGTGAGGGGATGGCCAGAAAGCATTCTTGTTTCACGAGGTCCAAAGACTGTCGACCTGAACACTGTCTCGAGCTGCTGTGCAACGATATGTCAACCCTTAAAACTCCGACACAGCTCATCAAGAAGCTCTGTTCTCCAGCGGGGATACTCAATGACCTGTTTGCTCATGAAAACCATCATTGTGTTTTGCCGAGCATCAAAGGTGCTCAGAGTCCAAAGCGCTGTGCCAGGGCTCAAAGGGTTTCTGACATCTGCCACGGTGACGCCGTAGGCGAGGCCCTGTCGGCAGGTTCCTTTGTCCAGTTTGTGCTTATAAACAGTTTTTGCTGATAGTAACAAGAAGCTACTAGTAACAAGTGCGCCGCTACTAGTAACAAGTGCCACGCTAGTAGTAACAAGCGCCACGATAGTAGTAACAAGTGCCTTACTACTAGTAACAAGTGCCACGCTAGTA